CTCAAGAAAATAAATAAATAAAAGACATACCATCAGCACGCATTACGTACACAATTTACTTTATTGCATAAACTGATTATAGTTTTAATGCCGCACAGGGCGAGTCTGGGAAAAACTCGGGAAACGGGCTGGGAAAAAGGGAAGAGGAGGGACGGAGGCGTTCGACATTCAGGCTGGCGGGCAGGAAAACTTTAATATCCTGACGTTATTATCATTATTAAACTGTGAATGGCATAATAAACGAACATGGTAACCGCAGCGAGTCGCGCACAGCGCGCATTCCCAAGTTTCCTCAAGTACAATGGTCTGTAAGAGCGAAAAGTGGAGGAAATTCTGAGGAAAATTAAATATTGTCGTGGGCTTTTTCTGAACCCTGCATACTTTAAGTTTAATCACTTAAACTGAAAGCACGACCTGGGTACGCATTAAACTTAACGTACTAAAATAGGGAATAGTTAAAATATATGAGGTGTTCGAGCATGGCAAACATGTTATAACTTGGTCGCTAATTAGGCGAGAAGAAAAAAAGAAAATAAAATATTTTCGGTGTTTTATTTTTAGTGTACAAACATCTATAATATCTTGCCAAAATATCGATCTACACATTCCTAATCGTTAGTTTTGGCATAAAGTTGTATTATTATGTATAGTTCTTAGAGATCAACGAAATTGTAAACTTTCAGCTTCAATATTAAACTGTGTTTCTTCTTTTATTGCATTAATAGTTGTATTGCTCGTTCTTTTATATTTTAAGATGTATATATTAAGCTTCAATTGAACACAAAACATAAATTTACAATTGTTCACCAACAAAAGTATCGAAAAACGTGGATATTTCCCAAGCCCTTTAAGAAATCAATGGGTACTTGTGGCATGTTCCACAGTGCGCTAAGTGTGGCTGCAAAATGTTGTGTTTACCGTCAAAGTCCCGCTGAAGTGCACCAGCTCTGGGCCAAAAGACAATACGTTTGTTATCGACGTGCGGCTTGAAGTTATGGCCGCGTAATAATCTATTGAGATGCGTTTTATTGCGCATACGCCGCGTACGCCAGCCAAAGCCGTCTGCTGCGGAGTCGTAAGCACTTCCATGGCCCAGAGCTGCACTTAAGAGTCGTCTGCAATGCATTAAGGCCCCCTATGGCTTTCGCTTGATGGCGATAAGATTTGGGGTTGGAGAAGGCGAAGCGAATGGATGGTGGATGGAAAACTGTTGCTAATTTTGAACTGCAGACGGGATTGTAAAGTCTGAGCCGGCAGCAGTGCACTGCAGTGGGGGCAACTTTCGGCCACATTTCCTTCAGCATTGATTTCGCCTCGCAGCTCATTTCGTTCAGCCAACATGTGGGACGGCCACTAATTAGTCGTTAATGATGCATTTCCCCAGATTGCATGTCTCGATTATTTCGTTTCACTTCGTTTGGCTTGGGTTACCCGCACACGGACCCACAGAGCACGCACATACTTTCCGAGTTAATCTTGTATCTGGAATCCCGGCAGACACGCAATATTGAAGCCCTGCGGAAAGTCAACAGAAAGCGGCGTATAAAAAATCGTCTTACTCACGCCATGAGTCGCAGATCTCCCCTTCCGTGATTCCTTTATCCTTATTTACCTGTAAGGAGATAACAGCACGGGGAGCAGGGGGTAAAAATTTGTTCCTGGCATTTCAATTTGCTTTGCATATAATTATTATTGTATTACGCATACTCCCCATGGGCTACGCACTCACTCCCACACAAGGAATTACTCTGGCGTGCATGATACAACTTTCCCAACTCCAACCAAGGGATTTCCATGTGAGTACACAGGGAAAAATTTGCATAAATCCAGAAAAAATATTTGCATTGCTCAACTTCCCGCTCCCCAGTTTTCAGCAGCATTTAAGCCATTAATTTGCATTCATGAAATATTGCCCGATCGTGATTTTAATTTTTAACCAAAATTTTACATCTCCAACAATCCAGTGGAGGGGCAAAAAGTTTCCTTAGAGTTTTCGGCTGCTCTCCATTTGCATTGTTTAAGCCATAAGCTGATTGAAAAACCCTCTGCGTTTCGTTCAAGTGGCTCGTGTGATTCTCATCGATGTGCGGGCTTAAAATTTAAAAATGAAATATATCAGTGGAAAAGCTCATCAGTTCGTGGAAAATTTATTACGCATCATATCTGATTATTCACCGAATTCCCGCCTGACCGAGGAAATTGACATCTGGACTTGGCTGTCATTAATTTGCTTCGTTAATGTGAAAGCAAACAATGTGAAAATGGCGCGGAGTCATTATTTTACATAGTAATTAAAATTATGCCACTCCATACACAAGTGTTCTCGATAATGCTTATGCAGGACTCAATTTGTTGTTACATAATTACAAGAAATAACACCGCGGGTCATTATGAGTGCAAACAAAGGGCACAATTAAAATCATTAATGCTGGCATAAAAAGTACAAAGTCAATGGGACTTGCACTAAAATCACTTCCACTAATTAAAGTAGCCCCATGGCTTATTCCGGCATTATCCCAAAGATATCATTCGCCTGTCATTCACTTTGAAATTCCGCCCTCATCCTATTTAGAAGTTACAGACGTATGTACTGCGTTATCTTTTGCCAGAATCTACGCACCTGTCCGTAAAACTCATTCGTTGCTCAGTGAACACCGAGCTAATTGATTTTAACAAATTCAATTCGTGTTTAATTAAATTAAAATTTTGATTTTATCACAACTCTGCCCTGCAGCATATGTTTATGCCCGGGGGGCTGTGGCCGGCCTTAAATGGAAATTTAAATGGAAATTCAGCGCAAACGGAAGTGAAACGGCGGGCTGTGCAATTACCCCTCCTAATTAATGATCTGCTTGGCCGCAAGTACGTGCTTGATAAAAATGTGTGTGTAGCTAACACATTAATTAAAGTTTCATAAGAGCCGAAAAGAAGGCGAAACAAGGACTGCTATTTAAATATTTATTCCACTCATTTGTATTGTGGAAGAGACCCAAGACCTGGAGACAGGAATTACCTTTAGCACACAAATTGCATTTGCGTGTCAACCGCAGTGCGTCAAAATGGGCGGGAATGTCCTGGGGCGGCCTTGTGTCTGGGTGTGTGTGTGTCTGTGTGTGTGTGCGGGTGTGGGTGTGAGTGTGTTTCTGAGACATGCGAAGCGTGCGTAAGTCGGCAACATGTAAACGCGTATTAATTAAGCCAAAACAAAGCGCCGCCGCTCAAGAACCAGACGAACTGCGAAGACGACGACGACGAGGACATGCAAAAGGAGTGGCACGTGGGCGGTGGCTCTGGCAGGGGGCGTGGCTAGTCAAGAGCTTGTTCAGTGCCATTTCCCCTGTCAAGACCTCAATGTGTCCGTAGAAAATGGAAATGTCCTTATAATATGCCAGACGTGGTACATTTAATTCCTTTTTTGTGTGTGCGGCTTTCTTTGACTGATTCTTTTGATTCCTTTATACATTTTAATTACACATCCATCTCACATATTACACGCATATCTCGCCCTGTAGCTAACAGGCGTTTTATTTAAATAGTCCCTTAATGAACCGGGCATCCACCCCAATTTTACCCCATCTGAGCAGGTGAATAGCCCTCGAAGTTGTCAGGCTGCGGCGACACTTTTCCGACATTGTCACACCTGTCAGCAGCAGTCGGTCCAAGCTGCCACAAATGTCAATCGCCGCTTTAAACGGCGGTGAATTTGGAATCCTTCATGAACTAAGAACGAATTAAGACAAAATCCATCAGAGCACTCAAAAAAAAATAATTAAATACATTTTTTTCAATATATTCCAAAGCTCATCTGTGTATCTGTGTAAAACCCAGAATCTTCGCATTTATAAATCCTAAACCAAGAACGAAATTCGCATATACAAAATTAAATAGTCTTTATTGAATTGAACTATTATATTACATTGTAAACCCTGAAAATTCAAAATTTATTTCAATAATATAATCAATATATATTTAAAAATATTTTAAATTTGTCATAACAATTTTCTATGTTTTGAAATTGGTTTCATAATATAAAAAAATGGGAAATACGTTCCATTATATGTTTACTTCTAGTACACAGTATTCGGTTCAGTGCACTTGACAGCGCGTGAATGAGAACGGGCTGTCATGGGGGTTCCAATTCAATTTTCGTGCCCACTTTAATTGCAATTCGTGTTAATTTCGCCGGCAAAACTTGGGTTAACAATCACTTGAGGCGTCCAGCTGCCACTTCATCGGTCATTATGGTCAGCCATAAACAAATCAGCAAACAAAGTGGCCGCCACCTGCACCCTGCCACCTGCCGCCATTCGATGGCCACGTCGCCACTTTGCACACCCACTTTTCGCACAAATTGCACGTTGGCGGCCACGAAAAGTTGCGACCCCAAGGAAAAGGAAGCGGAAAGGCCGCCGAGCGAAGAAAGCGAAGGGAAACAAAGGAGAGGGCCAAAAGAAAATCATTCATTATCATGTCACGTCAATCGAAAAACAATCTAATGACTGCACATGATTTCTATCTCAAATAGGTTGGACACGGTGCCGGAAAAGGGGGAAAAGGGGGAAAACAAGCCGGGAAATCGCCCAGTCACATACGCAGCCAGCTCACTCATACATGCCCACACAAGTGGTTGAAAAGTTTGCGGCCAAACGTTTATTATGCATTAGCCATGCTTAAACGGTTAAATCAACTGTAAATCTCTGTGCCCACAATAAGGTCGTTGGGGGCGGCCTTCGATGGGCGGTCAACTGCACAAGTCAAGTGTGAACTGTGTGTGGATGAGTGTGATTTGATAAATCACTGTGATACTGTGCTCGTGGGTGCGGTGCTTATCGGGAACTAAGATACCATGGTGGGCTTTTCCAGTTGATTAGGGCTTAAGTGCTTGCCAGGCTCAGGTTACAATTTCATCAAGATTTTTAGGCCAACATGCCTAGTTTCTTGAAATCAAGCAAAACTATAAACTTTCTCCAAAAACTATTCAAACTTAAAAGGCTGGTCAAGAAAATTCATAACTGCCAGTATAAATTATTCAGTTTAGCATATTTTTTTATATTTTTATTTATTATTAAATCATAATAATGTATGGGTAAGTAAATAAAATGGAAAACTTTTTAAACTTTGCACTTTTTTACTTGACTCCATATATTTACATATACTAATATAATTTCTTCGCCAACAGCGCTAGACTCACAACGTAAGTAAAGGATTGTGATTTTAATCCTTTTAAGGTATTCATATTATTTTCCTTAATTAGCGTAAGCTTCCTTGAGGATGCGGTGAAGTTTATTTATCAGTACCCTCTGCTGCCGCTGCCACTGATCGACTATGGATTCATATACAATCTAGCTTGCTCAAAGCCACGAGATGTGAGCCTTCCGCTGATCCTCGAAGTGGAGACGGACTACAAGACCAAGGACAGTCCTTCTGAGCGACCAAAGAAAGTGCAACGGGTCTCGTATCATTCGCGATCGAGTTCGATGAGTGCAGAGGAGCCGGAACCGGAGGTGGAGGTCAAATACCGCTGGAACTCTCCCCGTCTGATGATCCTCTGCGAGGATGGCGATATCAACTGCGCCCTGCACTATCTCGTCGAGTCCCTTCATGATCCCTTTGCTTGCAATGCGGTGGCCACTTTGTTTGTGCAGGAATCCGTGCTCGAGGAATTTGTGGATCGCTTGAAGGATCGCTTGGAACCATTGAACTCGCAGATCTCCGGACATCCGGTCTATGTTAAGACACTGGAAAGATTGGAGCAACTGCAGGCCAGGACTATAGTTGGCAATCCTAAGACGGTTCCGGCGAATGCCAGTCCCATGCTGGTTTTTGACCTGAGCCATCGTTACTTGGGCGAAGGGCCCACCGGGGTCATAACCCTCCACACCTTTCGAACCATGAAGGAAGCCATTGAGCTGCAGGCCAGGGAACCACTCAGTTTTACCTCCGTGAGCATTTGGAATGAAAAGCTGGGAGCAGCCTACGAATTGGTAGCCCGCTTGACTCCCCTCATCTTCCTGCTCAACTGTTTCTACGTGGATCTGAACAACATCAGCCTGGCCTTCGTATGCAACCTCAACTCCTCAAAGATCGTCGACGGCTACCACTACGAGTCGCTGACCTTTAGGGAAAAGCGAAAGGCCGTCGTCCATCCCGTCGGCACCATCTGGGGAAAGTTGGCCCGCGAGGGACTCGTCGACCACTGATCCCTCCCTTCCCTCGGCGGCCGCAAAACTTTCGATTGGCAGCTAATTTAAATTACTAGTCATTGATCGGCGGAGTGCTGACTAATTGACTTTCCGGATGGGCAACTCAATTACCACTTTAATTGCTCAAACAAGTCGGCCCATCCCTGGAGCTTCGGTCTCTACTCAACAGGCCTTTTCCCTTCGGATAATCAATGGAAATTGTGAGTGACTTTGTATTGTGAAATTAAAAATTCTTTCTGCGAAGTAATTCACCTAACGTGCCAATAATTTCAAAAATTTACTTTGCCCCATTGCCACTTCCCCTAATTTCCCCTGCTCCTCACGAGCGCACAACAAAGGCAACAAAGGAGTTCCGTGTTGGCAACAAAATGTTGAGGCTGCCAGGTGAGTGGGTGGTGGGTGGTGGTTGGGTTGTAGGATGGTCGGTGGCATTTCGAAAATGCCATAATTACTCCACTTGCTGCCTGCTCAGAAATGTACGATGAGGGGGGCGGGGGTAAGGAGAGGTCTGGGCGGTCATATTAGTGGCACATTTCGGCTTGTTGGTTGGCCAAATAATACGGGGATGACTTTGGGCAAACGGTGGGTCGGCAACTTTATAATGTACTTCCGTTTGCTTTCATTCACATGGCAGCGGAATATCAAAATATTTGACATTTGCATAAATAACACGAGCAGCGCGGAGATCTCGGGCAAGTGGAAAGGCAAATACGGCTCGTACTTTTCACCCAACCCCCAAGCCTCACACATATCATGCCAGGAATTGGGCAAATTTAAAAAACCAGCACATGCCATCGCCGGAGAGCAGGAGGAATGGAAGGGAATGGAAGCGGGGGAAATATGCAACGCAGGCAGCGAAAACAAAACCGTGGAATTTCTGCCCACCAGAGCCCGGACTCCTGGCTATGGACTCCGGCGGACGGGTGAGTCCGGTGGCTAAGGGCAAATAAGATTTGCGTGGAATTCAGCTGAATTCTGCCCGCTACTAAGGGCCCTGGTCCGCTGTGGTGTAGTATAGCATGTCGGCAAAGCACGGCCTGCTCACTAAATAAACAAATTCATAAACAAACAAGTGCGAAAAATATGGGACTTTGCTTAGGCCCTCGTTTGATACCCTGATGGAGCCATTCAAATGAATTGTTCAATATTAGAGAAAAAGTTGTGGATCGGGCTAAAATATGAAATATAGCCACAGGGAAGTTTTCAGCTGAATAAGTTTGTATGCCTATTACGTCTCCAATCAAACAATGGTATACTATATGCGAACTGAAACGCACGAGACAAGCGCTTTTGAACCTCTGGGCCATGGCAAAAGAATGAAAAACAATAATACAAATACGAAATATGTTGATAAACTCAAATATAATATTCAAATATTTCATTTTCGAAAGTAAATTGTTTAATCTCTATAGAAAATCACAACTATACAAATAGACCCATCCAGAAAAATTGCTTATATACATAAAGGAATACTTATTTAAAATTCTTTGTTTATCAAAATATATTGAACACCTGACTAAATCAATGGTATATTTAATAAAAGTCAGAGAAATATTGCATATGCATAGCAGTTCTTTTCTTCCTCAAAGATTAACATACTTATCACACCTTGTTTTAAGCTCACACTACCCCATGTAAGGGCACATCGAAAAAACCGAAAAACGGAAAAACCCCAGCGCGAAATGAAGTTTATTTATCCAGCGAATGGGCAAAAATTAGACGCGGCTGCATGCAAATTGGCAATTAGGAAATCCTTTATTTTATGAATTTTTCGCCAGAGCGCCGATTTCATTTTCTTCATGTTGGCTCGTTCGCTTCGGTTGGGTTTGAAATGCAAATAAATGACTCCACCTCCGCTTCCACTTCCATCTCACGGCGTTGAAGCCCCATTTAGGGTTATATTCGGGTGTGTGGAGCATTCGAGTAAGAAGAGTGGGCGAGGGGTCCCATTTTTCACGCTTTTATTTGGCATTTTATTTTGGTAACGTATTTAATTTCATTGCAGGTTTGGCCCGGGGTAATTTCGACCATATGAATGGAAATGAATTCTGTTGAGTGGAAGGTTAACTTCTCCAACTTGTGATGTATACAATTTAAATGGATTATTATGGACGAATTCTGAATGGTGTTTTTATGGGATTATCTTTGAAAACAGTGGCCAATTCTCCGTCAATTGGGGTATTCAGAGATTTAATGAGTTTCTAAGAGGTTTACTGTGTTTTCAGCTCAAATATCAAAATAAACTCCCCCGCAAGTTGTGTTTTTTCCGTTTTATTTTTGGCTCCCCCCAAAGCAATAACAGACTGGCCAGGATCAAATGCGGATATCTCTTGAAAAATAAATCCGCAAACGATAAAATTCGGCGTGCGGAAAACTCATGAGGTTGGCCTGGATACCGTTCACTCCACTTCAATTCCATTCGACTTTCGTCCGTTGGTAATTGCAAAGGCGAGGGCCGCAAAAAGAAAAATACCTGGGCATACAGCACGAAACAAAAACAATACAAAGAAAAGCTGAAAAACCCATGGAGAGCAAAGTGGAAATCTCAGTTAAGTTGAAAGATTACATCCTGTGTGGATGGGACGTGGGTTGGAAACCTTAACTAAAAGTCAATTCCCAAATCAGCACAGCCAAATGACTGGGAAAGTAGCTTATTTCAATCGAACGTTTTGCGGGGCTCTGTTTAAATTGTGCAAATCCTTTTATTTTAACGACTTTAAACTTTTCTATTGTCTCCCGGCTTTCCACTTTCCACTTTTCCGTTTGCTCCTTTTTTGGCCCGATTGTTTGGCATTGTTTCATGCAAGTTTGATTTTCAAATCAACTGCAGGTTGCCTCCACCTTAATCCTGTCCGTTGTTCCCACTTAGTTGTTGTTTCTATTTGGCTGTCGTTCACGTTGTTATTGTTGTTGCTCTGTCCCATTCAGTTGTCAAAATAAAAACCTGGCAACCTGTTGCTACGGAGGATTACTCGTGCGTTGAATGCCCCCATCTGGGAAAGTCCCAACCTTCCCCACCCGCTGCCCCCATATTCGTATAGAGGAAAAGTTTTCGCTTTGATATTTGATTTCTGTGCTGGCCTGCAATGGCAGAAATCAGCCAAACGGAAAAAGGTTCAAATTACCGCGAGTTTTTAGCCGTTTTCCGTCGCCAACATTTTGGTCCCTCTGTTGTTTCGTTTTTTTCGCTTTCGTGTTGTTTAGTGTTGTGTGCACTTTACTTTTCGGCTTTGACTTTTATGCCATGCTGGTCTAAGTTTCGACCCAATCAGGACCTGCAAGGACTCTAAGCCACTCTGGCGGTGAAGTGGGGATTGGAAGTTTTGACAAATATGCCGGAAAGTAGAGGCCATTGAGTGCGTTCATACCAATAGGATTAATGCTGGAAAGTCGAAAGGGCGCATGGGAAAAAGTCACAATGTGTAGGCCAAGTGTGGCCTAAAAGTAAGGTAAAGCTGGTTGTTTATTTATAAACATATATGTTAGTTTTGGTAGTGAATGTCTTCAAAAATTCTTTAAAAATTTATTCATACATATATTTAGTGTAGCATTTTAAAATTATATCTGTTAATTAACCTTTCTGTAGCCTGATCCTGCTTTAATATGTCTCGAAATTTTATTTAAATTACGCAGAATAAGCCTGATCCTGCTTTAATATGTCTCGAAATTTTATTTAAATTACGCAGAATAAGCTTTGCTTCTAACGTTCTCTGTTGATTACATACATATATATTCGCTGGTTAAAATTTTCCTACAGCAACATTCTTAAAAACCGCACACCACTTTAACATCCGTTCAATATCGATTTAATTAATTTGAGAAACGTTGGGGCTGATTAAATATTAACAGAATGTCGAAGTGAGTGCCAGCCCCTTTTGAGGGATCGTGCGGTTGGCTGTATCGCCTGACAGCCATTAGGAATATTGATTTCCATATCGCAACATTAACCAACGTCAGAAGGCAACAAAAAGTCGCATTCGCGAGCTGCAAAAAGAGAAAGTACAGACAGGATACCAACACTCGCACACACACATACTTCTAAATGCGCTGACGTAATGTGAAAATTATGCGTTGTAATTTGCGCCATCAGAAGGAAACGGAAAGGCGGAAGACGACGCACTCAAACAAACAGGGGGAGGGACAGAAAAAATAAAGGAAAACAAACGCAGAAGAAGCACGCAGGATATTCCGAAGAAGTAGATATAGGCGGGCCAACACACACATTTACATATGCTTAGCTGTGTGTGTGTGTGTATGCAGATGTGGACATGAAAAATTGGAACACTTTAGCAGTCAAAGCTGATTCACAGTTCCTATCTCCCCTGTCCCCAAAACCTCCAGGCACCATTCCCCTATTGCTGTAGTCCTTGTTGTTTTTTGGCACTTTTTCGCCATCGTCCTCTCCATCTCCCTTTTTTTTTTGCTTCTGGCCCAAAAGGAAGTTGTAAAAATAAAACATAGCACGTTCACAAGTCCCAAAAGAAAAAACCCGATAGAATGCTACGATTAGATGGGTTCCGACTCAGGAATACCCGCTATATTGAATGATAAAGTAATACTTACTAAGCACATCTGTTGCTTATTCTTTTCTGTTATTTCGATTGCATGTAAACAAGGGTTTTTGGGAAATACCACGCATAATTCAAGTATTACTCGAATTTCAAATTGAAAGACTCGAAAGAAAATGAGAGTCATTGCTGAGCAATAACGTAAAATGAGAACTTTTTAAAATATAAAAGCAATCCTATATGAGTAAGGCCATATAAGCAAAATCGAAATACATATTGTAAAGGCCTATGGATATGTTAATTATCCTTAACGTTAAAAACGTTAGGCAATAAGATCTAAGATATTTTTTAAAGTTAATTCTTAAGAGTAAATATCTTTGTTAAAAGATTCACAAAGCATGTGAGCTTGAAAATTTATAAATTTATTTCCTGCCAAACGAGATTTGGAAGCTTGAAAAACTAATGCACCTAGATAGCATTTGGTGTCCCGAGCATGTTCCAAACACACCGAAGAGCACATCCCTCCTTGTCCCTCGTAAAACAAAAACATAGGAGGGGCAGCCCCGAAGGCGAGGAAAAATAACTACATGGAAATTTGTGGTCGCTGAGGAATGTGGCAGGCGAAACCCAACGGGGGCTGCCGAGGTAGGAGCTCAAATTTGCGGGCACTAAACGTGGCATGTGGCGAACTCAGCATAAGCATCTCAGGATCCCAGCATCCCAACTTCCCTGGGTTCCA